CTCACAGCCAGATCATGATGATACATGCCTTTAATCTCAGCACTTGGGAGGCAGGTATAGGTGGATCTCTGAGCTCTAGGCCAGCCTGGTCTACAGATTGAATTCTAAAACAGCTAGGGCTACAGAGAGAAACCCTGTACCCTGTCTTAAAAAAAAAAAAAAATGAGAGAGACAGAATGAGAATGTCTCACTAGGTAGCATTGGATGGCTGGGAACTGATGAAAACCAGGCTGGCTTTGAACTCATAGAGATCCAGTTTATGAAATTAAAAAAGTATAAGCTAGATGTGATGGCACATACTTTTAATCCCAGCATTTAGGAGGGAGAGTCACGAGACTTGTGAGTTGGAAGCTAGTTTACTGGACATAACTATAGTGAGACCCTGTCTCAAAAACAAAACAAAAACCCAATTATAATAAATCCAAGTACAGGGGCTGAAGAGACAGCTCAGCGGTTAAGAGCACAAGCTACTCTTCCAGAGGACCTAGGTTCAATCCCCAACACCCATATGGGAGCTCACAACTGTCTGTAACTTTAGTTCCAGATCTGACATCTTCACACCAATGCACATAAAATAAAGGTTTTTTTTTTAAAGCCAATAAAGGCATTTAAAAAAATAAATTTGAGCACAAATACTTACTGATCACATGAAATGAAAATTCTGAAATCACATAAAGCATATGCTCTGATAATAAGATATAACTACAGGTAAAAGCATACACTCCTAAGTACCATGACGATACATACTGATTGAAAGTATAGATTTAATACTTACCATGAACTTTTGTACACTAAGAGGGAAAGTAGCAGAATATAGCAAAATCTGCCTATTTTTAGGTAGTGTGAGAATAATATCCTCCATAATCTGCACAAAATCCTGCGACAACAATTTATCTGCCTGGAATGCAAAGAAAAGGCACTTTTAAAAGAGTAAGACATTAAAAGTTTTGGTTAGCATATAAACAAAGGGTAAAACACAACCTATATAAGCTGCTGCTGGCTATGAACATAAATTCTTCAATGCATACAGTTTCCAAGGTTACCAAGATAAATCCGTAGTAATAAAGAAGGGGAAGGACCCAAGCATAGTAGCACATGCCTGTAATCCCAGCACCCAAGTGGCTGACACAGGAGAACAGAGTTTGAGGTCAGTCTGGGCTATATAATGAAACTGCCTCAAAACAGACTAAAATTCCTACCTAAAGGAAGGTAGAAAAAAAAATCATCCCATTAAAGAGGTAATATTGTATATATTGGTCAAAAACACAGGTTTTGAGCTAGGTGTGATTGGCATACACCTTGTTCAAGGCCAGCCTAGGTTAAATAGCAAGGCCCTGTGTGGTGGTATGAAAGAAAATAGCCCTCAAAGGATGTGTCACTATTAGGAGAATTGGCCTTGTTGGAGTAGGTGTGGCTTATTGGAGGAAGTGTCACTATGGAGGTGGGCTTTGAGGTCTTATATATGCTCAAGCCACGCCCAGTGAGACAGACCACTTCCTGTTGCCTGTGTAAGATGGATATATCCTAGCTACCTCTCCATGTCTGCCTGCACGCCACCATGTTTCACCATGATGATAATGGACTGAACTATGAACTGCAAGCCACCCATTAAGTGTTTTCATTTATAAGAGTTGCCATGGTCATGGTGTCTCTTCACAGCAACAAAAGCCCAAACTAAAACTCCCTGTTACAAAACCAAACCAGGTTCTGAATTCAAACTATTTGGACTGAAACATTTTATTCTTTAGCTGTACTGGATATCACTTAGCCATGCTTCAGTTTCTCAACTATGAAAACAGGTTACCTACATCCCACAACAGTCTAAGATACCTAGAAGGTCTAGACTGTAAAAATTATGTAAAAGCATGTTATGATGTAGCCAATGTTGACACAATATTTAGTTCTATTTCTCATTAGTCATTTGGTGAACTAAAACAAACCAAACAGCAAACAAAGTAAATGGACCCCAAACACTAACACTGACAGGCTTACATGTATAAAGCACTGCTAGATCTATGTAGCCTTGACTGGCCTGACACTTGCTGGGTAGACCTAACTAACTCAGGTAAAACATTTGGCCTCAGTTGACTAGGTTATAACCCAATGAGGTAACAAACTTCAAAAGAAGCAAACAATATCAAGCAGCAGATACAAAAGGAAGGGTTAAGAGATATCTCTTACATGGTTCTAGAATGTATCACTGAATAGAAAGATTTAAAATGAACTTGGCTTGGTTATGTGGTAACAAGTATCTGGATGTGTTTACTGAAAGTCAAACAAAAACAGCTTTTGCTTCATCCACTGAAAAGTGTAAGCAACTGCATGCCCACAATCATCCACAGCAGTCCTTTAAGTGGAGAACATTACCTCATCCAATACTATCATCTGGACATGGTCAACCTTCGCTACTCCTTTCTTGATAAGATCCAGGATTCTGCCAGGGGTAGCGATCACCACATGCACTATACAAGATTTATAGGAAAAAGGAGATTCAGAAACTATATACATTCTTGTTAATTTATTGTTCACACATACACTCACACAAAAACCTACATAACTTTGTAGTATGTATTTAGCATCAGAAACACAAAAAAGTCAAAAGATGCGTTTGGGACTGTATACTCCCATTTCACCTCACAACAGCTAGACAATATTTGCTTCAGTTTTATATTGAGTTGGCTAGTTTCCAAAATCACCAATTCCAACTAAGGGGCATACAGCCTTTTACTTATGACAGACAACCTGCAAGAAATAACAGCCATAACACGGGGTTTCTCACATAAAGACAGGCCTTATACCTAGGCAATCCTGCCCAGACTGTGTTAAGGGGAACAACAGTTACTAAAAACAAAAACTGTACAATTAAAAGAATATAACCAAGTAACTAAATAACAAATAATACATATTAACATTCTGACCAAATTTGCCTGATTTTACATGTGCTCTTGCTATTTTATTAACTCTTTTACACTCAGCATTATTCATGGTGAGCCCTTCATAAAAACTGAATACAAGTCAGGCATTCTTTATTTACTTTGTGAGACTCCACTCAGGCTATACCTCACTGTATTTATCCAGTCTTCCAAAATAAATTTACCTTCTTTTTGAGTACCACAAACCACACCAGAGTAAACAACTTTGTGTGTATGCTGTTTAGTTACTTGAAAATATTAAATTTCTAATCTGAACTATACTATGTATATTGTATACTCATGCTATAATACAGCCTACTTTCCACAGACAGGCATTACTGATAACTAATACTTCTTAGTCTTGAAAAATTAGAACAATTTTAATATAAATTCAGTATTTTCAACCATATTAATGAATATTAAAAATATTTAATCCCAGCATTCATGAGGCAGAGGCAGGCAGATCTCTGTGAGTTTGAGGTTTGAGAACAGCCTGGTCTACATAGCAAGTTCTAGGACAGGCATAGAGGTTTCCATAGAGACTCTGTCTCAAAAAGCCAAAACCTGAAAATACTAATAATGCTGAGTATCCTTTCAGTTATCTATTTATTCCTCTTGAAAGAAATGGTTGTTGTCACTGTTCTTTCTACTGCAGCACTTCTAATCCTTCATCTTTTTGTTATGACAGGGCATCAAGTGCTCTGGGCTGGCCTCAAATTCACTATGACCTCCAACTTTTGAACCTCTTGTTTTCATTTCCCCAGTGCTAGAATTACAGGGAAATGCCACTAAATCCAGTTTGTTTACCAGCTGAGCTAACCTCAGTCCCAATGTTAATTTTTTTTGTTTTGTTTTTCGAGACAGGGTTTCTCTGCAGCTTTGGAGCCTGTCCTGGAACTAGCTCTGTATACCAGGCTGGTCTCACAGAGATCCGCCTGCCTCTGCCTCCCGAGTGCCCGGCCCAATGTTAATTCTTTTTTTTAAATACTTATTTATTATTTATTATGTATACAATAGTCTATCTGTGTGTATGCAGAAGGCCAGAAGAGGGCACCAGACCTTATTACAGATGGTTGTGAGCCACCATGTGGTTGCTGGGAATTGAACTCAGGACCTTTGGAAGAGCAGGCAATGCTCTTAACCACTGAGCCATCTCTCCAGCCCCCCAATGTTAATTCTTAAAAATATTTTTTAGTTATTTCCTAAAAGGAAACACTTGGGGGTTAGCGATGACTTAGTGGTTAAGAATTCATACTGCTCTTGCAGAGAATTCAAGTTCAATTCCCAGCATCTACAACAGTTGATGCACAAATGCCTGTAACTCTAGCCCCAGGGGATCCAATGCCCTCACCATTGGGCACCTGCACACAGAACCACTCCCCACACCCACAAAATTAAAAATGTCTAATAAGTTAAAAAAAAAAAAAAAGAGCCACTGTGGCCTCAATCAGTCAGAAGCACTGCTATTTTAACCATTTCCTACCTGTATCATCAAGCCTCATTATGTCATCCCGTAAATTCGTTCCTCCTGTGGTTGCCATCACTTTGGCCCCTCCCATGTGTTTGCTGACCTGGATGCAAATTTGACTGACCTGTAGAGCAAGTTCTCTTGTGGGAACAATCACCATTGCTAGAAAATATCCAAGAATAGAGGAAGGGGAAGGAGAGAACATACCATATTTTAGAAGCTTAAGAAGCTATAAAAATAGTTCTACTGAGGTATTAAGTCTAATCACGCAGGCAGAACATGAGACATAATATTTCTAAGTGTCATAAACTACATTTGTTTGACAGAAGAGATTCACTAATCTAAATACTTTAGTAGTAAATACCTCCTGCTCAGATTCTATTTACATCATATCAAAGTAAGGTGAGACAATTATAAACTGAAAGTTGGAAAATTTAAGAAAAGCTTTAGAGGTGAAATCTTAATTATATGAACTGACTCCAGATGAAACTATAGAAATTTGCTTCTTTTTCACTGTCTAAGCTCTTAAAATCCCCAGAGCTCAAGCCTTTACAAGAGAAGCACTTACTACTTCTACAAAGAGCCTGGCTTTACACAGTTCTCACAGGGGAATTCAGTTTCACAGGCCAATAACAACTCATTGAACCTCTCAACAACACAGTTTTCCTAAGTATAGGGCAACAAAACTCACTTTTCTTATCTCACATGGCTGTTCAACTGTGTGTCAGACAAAAGTCTCCTGAAAGCAGGAAACCCCCTTAAAAAGTTGAGAATCATTTTTAGACAATTAAGTCAAATTCTGTAAGAACAGAGTAACGACTGTAACAAGTTTGGATTGCTTAAATTCTGACCAAGAGTAAAACCTACAAAGCTCCAAGAATAAAAAGACAGTTTATCTCTCTTTTTCTCTCTCACACACACTTTGTACAACTAACCTTGAATATTGTCCTTCTTCAGGTCCAGCCGTTCAAGTAAGGGAATGAGGTAGGCACCGCTTTTGCCTGTTCCATTTTTTGCTCTAGCTAAGATATCCCTACCAGATAAAGCAATGGGAATGCTCTCCTCCTAAAAGACAAGGCAATGGAAAATTACTTGTGAATAAAAGAAGTACATAACCAGATTCTTCTCTAAGTTACACTGAAGGATAAGTACCCTTCTCCATACTGCTCTGATTTGGACTGTTTGTATTTTGCATGAATGGCAAAGACCTATGAGGATTAGCAGGACCAGTGATCATTAACAGCATTTATGAATAAAAAATTTCCAAAACTCAGAAAATATTCTTTTTTTAAAAAATATTTATTTATTTATTATGTATACAATGTTCTGTCTGTGTGTATGCCTGCAGGCCAGAAGAGGACACCAGACCTCATTACAGATGATTGTGGGCCACCATGTGGTTGCTGGGAATTGAACTCAGGACCTTTGGAAGAGCAGGCAATGCTCTTAACCTCTGAGCCATCTCTCCAGCCCTCTCAGAAAATATTCTGAGTTTAATCCCAGAGTAATAGAAAGGGCAAGTGAGGTAGGCTTGGTGGCATAACCTCTAAGGTCAGAGGTAGAGGCAGCAGATCAGAGTTCAAGGCCAGCCTGGTCTTGACAGCCAGGGCTATATAGAGAAAGATCCTGTCTCAAAAACAAAACAAAAAGGCTGGGCTCCATGAGCTCAAGGCCAGCATGGTCTACAAGAGCTAGTTCCACTCCAGGTCAGGCTCCAAAGTTACAGAAACCCTGTCTTGAAAAATCAAAACCAAAACAAAAAATCAAAGTGCCTGTGTGTGTGTGTATGTGTGTGTGTGTGCGCGCGCGCGCGCGCGCGTATATATGTGTGTGTGTGTACAAAGAAAATAACAGGGGAAAAGAACTCCCAAAGAGCTATAAACAGTCGTCAAAGAACTTTGTCAGAAATTAAAAATAGCCAGACATAGTAGCTCAAGTCTGTTCCCAGTAGGCTGCAAGTACACAAGTTTTAAGATCAGCTTGACTTAACAAACAAGAAAAAAAAAAATTAGCACCAACAACTCCAAGGAAAGATTATATAGCACATGTTATTTTCAGACCAGTAAGTCAATCATACTACAGGAAAAAAAAGTGAACACTGGGCTGGAGGTGTAGTGACTGAGTGCATGTTTAGCCATTTGCAAGACCTTCGGTTCAATGCCCAGTACCAAAAACCAAACCAAACAAACCAAAGCAAGAAAAAAAAAATTGCAGATTAGACACCTTCTTCTTACACAAAATAGACACAAAGAAATAAGATAGAAACATTTATCCCTGAGTCCTAGTAAGTACTTATTATATCAACCTCCAATGTTTTTCACAACTTCTCTGTCCTGCAACTGAAGACACCATCAGTCACATCACTATAAGTAACACTTCATTTTCTTTCTTTCTTTCTTTTTTTTGTTTAAAACTTCAAGACAGGATTTCTCTATGTTCACAGCCCTGGAACTCACTCTGTAGACCAGACTGGCCTGAACTCAGAGATCTTCCTCCCTCTGCCTCCCAAGTGCTGGGAATAAAGGTGTGTGCCATCACCGTGTCCCTCATTTCACTTTTAGGCTTACTTTGTCTTATGTTTTCAATAACCACAACAAAGGTAATACTTATTATCTGGGGCACAGGAAAGGATACTGAAGTTACTGAAAATTAAGCACACACAGAAATTAAAAGGGAAACAGGCACAAAGTAAGACAGAACACACACTGTTCTGCTACAGAACCCTACAAATAACCTGCTCACAAACCTGTCAATAATGAGTTCTCGGTTTGCCAAGAGTATTGAAGACAAGGTGGTTAGAAAGCGTTCATGTAAAAATAAGTAAACTTCAGAAAAAAGATTTAAACTGATTTATTTGTACATATGTGTGTCTGTGTGAGCATGTGCCAGGTGTCCCTGCAAGAGTGTCAGAGTCCCTGGAGGTGGAATTACAGGCAGTTATGAGTCAATGAGTTTTGGAGAAAGAAACTTATTTCCCTACAAAAGCTTCTTCTACCCTTACTAATCTCAAAGTAAAAGCATAAGAAACATTCAAAGCTTGCTGATTTGTTTCTTTCATATGGACTTTCAGTCTGTCGTCCCAGATGGTCTCAAACTCCTGCACAGCTCTTGCCTCAGCTTTTTTGGGCACTAAGGTTACAGGCAAGAGCTACAAAGTTCAGTGAAATATTTCAAACACAATGTTTTAGAAAACTGTATATTGTTTCAACAGTCTTTAGCCTCCTCCCTGCCCCCCCACCTACTCTCCACAATCCCTAGAAGAAATTAAGGGTAAAGAGGCCTGGCAGTGGCGGTACACTCCTTTAATCCCAGCATTTGGGAGGCAGAGGTAGGAGGATTTGTATGTTTGAGGCCAGTCTGGTCTACAGAGTGAGTTCCAGGACAGCCAAGACACAGAGAAACCCTGCCTCAAAAAACATAAAATAAAAAATAAAAATTAAAGGCATAGTGTATAATGAGTTTATTTTATAACTTAAAAGGATCAGAAAACGGGCAGGTGAAATGACTCAGTGAGTAAGAGTCCATGCAGTACAAGCCTGGATCCCATGAAGAAAGAGTTGTGGCCTGTCCTCCACACACTCGCTGTGGGGTGTGCACCACCACCCAAACCTCTCCCCCCATATTTTGAAAATGTTCAGGAAAGTCAAAAGAATTGAGCCTGCTCAATGGTTCTAGAGTTCTAAATTAAGAACAATATTTTTGAATAAAAGGATAAATATAACAACTTGCAAATTATATCAAATATACTTTATAGTATCTAAATTGAGACTAACCATCTATATATGGCTTTCTAGGGAAGGGAGCAAAGGGCTGCTTGTGCTCAAGGCTGGCCTCTTAACTTGCTATGTAGCACAAAATGGCCCTGATTCTCGTCCTCCTGGTCTCCATTTCCCAAGTGCTAGTAATGCACCGAGCACTAGAGACCAAACCCGGGTTTCAAACAGGCTGAGCAGGCACCCTACTGAGGCACCGATGGGGGTGGGGGCGGGGGGGGGGGGGG